TGCTCACTTCACTTCCCCATCTCTGATCGAACTAATGCAAAAGTAATTGTGCAGTTTTGTTCATGAGCATAAAATGTAATTTAGCCCTGAACACATTAATTCTTCAAAAGGGCATAAACACACATAGATTTAAATGAACGATTGAGCCAGTAACTGCAGGCGCTAACTACTGAAATACATGTAACTCGATATCACGACAACCGTAATAAGGTAGTAATCCCTTCAAAAAAAGTAATAATTTAGTCACTCACTCCATGACTGTTTGTGAGACACTGGTGTGTACAATTGGCTGCCAGGTTTCACCCACAAAATACAGTCACTTCACTTTACAGTATATTCTGTTATATTCTGTTTGGGATGTCTTGAAGATGTGATAAGGCGCTGTATCAAATGCAAGGATTATTATTATTATTTACTCAATGCCTACATTCAGCTCTATCATGTGGTAAGCATGACAAATAAGTGACAAACTGCTTAATAGCTGAAGTTATCACATGCTTGTATCAATTGAGGTGGGAAGCTTATGTCAAAATGATTGCCTCACCAAAATTGATGTCACAAATGTCTATGCAAAGAGAAATTAAAGGAGCTTACTGGAATTGCTCCATTGGGACCTTTCCCCTATTTCTACATTGCAATCATTCAGCAGCTTCACATAAAAAAATCAGCATTTAAAATGCTGGCATTATAATAAGAACACCGAACCTTCCCTTCCCCTCCAGTAATAACTGGGATATATGAATATGTGCTCTCATGATATATTACAGATGGTTCTTTGGAGGAAGTTGAAGGAAACATAGTGAAATCCCTTAAAATGATTGAGGACAGATCACTTTCCCCTCTTTCTCTCCCTCCCCCCACCCCACCATATCACGGTAATTTTTTTTGGTCACTGTATTATTAATAATTGATTCAGTTTAACAAGGACACAAGCTCCTCCAATAACACGAGAAGCAGTTCGATAGCAACGGAGGTTCTGCCAGTCAAGCAGAAGAAAAACGAGATTACATTTCGGAAGTCAAAACTGATCAGTTTTTGAATAACAGAAACAATATTAGATCCACATGCTCCTGCTGCCAGCAGATCATCTAACAGACTGAACCTTGAAAAACATGGAGTCTGTATTAAATTATGGTGAGTTATTAAGCCAATTTAGAGCTATTCATTTTTTTTTAAAAATCCAGACATGCCTAATGGCAATTTCTATTCTCTTATTGTCTCTTGAAATCTTGTGAAGTATAGTAAAGAAACGAGTATCTAAAGTATTTGGCAGATTTTTAAAAATCCTTACAATGCTGAATATATATCTCCAATAAGATATGTGTTGTCTTGTCATGTCCTGCACTTGATCTCTCAAGGAAAAGTTCTGCAAAATGATTCTCCAACTCTCAAAGGTGAGTGAAACCACTGACCATCACTCTAACCTTATCCTGTGTAACCGAGCACGATAGCTCACTTTCTACATGACATTCTCATGTTCTGTCCTCCACATTACACTCCAGAAAAAATATCACTTTGGTCCACATTATCATAATAGACTCAGATTTCTAGTACTGTATTTCATCACAAGATTCCTTAGTAAAAAGAGTCAAGAGTTATGGAAATGGTGCCCTTAATAAATTAATTTGAAACAGGCAGTCACCTCCTCACAGAGATGAGATTAACAAAAGTAGCAACAAAAGTTTCAATTTATTAAAGACATTCTAAGTTTATAAAGTTATTTTAGACTGAATTGCCTTCCTAGTACCCTTCAGACTGTGCCTGTTCCACTATGTTTGTTTCACTTGCAGATCCTATTCTCAGAAATTTATTACAACTGGCCATTTGCAAAACAATTACAGCTCGTGCATACAATATAATCACACTTTATAGAGAGTTGTGTTGCAATAAATGCCATTTCTGTTTCTAATTCATAATTAAGCTTTGTTTGCTTCCAGTTTTCAATTTTAGTTTCTCCTGGGGAGGGGTATTACGAACAGCCCCGCAGGTTGTAAAAATAGTGTAACCTTTTCATACATGTTCTAAAGGGAAAAAACTTTTGTAATCAACTCTGTAATCATAGGGCATTTCACGTTTACGCTGTTTGCTCTGCAAGTATGTCTTCGTACAGTCTATAATTCAATCTGCTGCAGACTGAAATGGACACTTCTGCATTCAGACATTACTGGTTTAGAATTCTTTACTCAGAGGGTAATTAATGACTGGAACAATTTGCCAGGAAGGGTAGTTGAGGCCAGGACACTGGATTCATTTAAAAAGCAGCTTGATGCTGTCATGGGAGGAAAGCGGGGTGGGATAATATTACATGGACTGAAGAGTCTTTATCATTGAAACCAATCATGTAATCTTTGTGCTACCTTCAGATTTGGAAGGGAGGGAGAAACTTGAAGGACATAATATACCAAACAGCCTTTAGGGAATAATTAAGAAACAGTGTTCGATTTTCCAGTTCACAATCTTTTGAAACTCTTCTGAAGAGTTTCAGAAGATCAATTTTTACCATATAAACTTTGAAACCTTTCCTTATTCTTTAATAGATACCTTTTAATAATTCACTTTCTACATTATAATTTTTTAAGTTTATCAAAATGTAATAGCTTCTTATTCAACTTGCATTTTGGATCTACCAACTTCATGTGGAGTCCTGTAGCTCAGTGGTTAGAGGACTCGCCTCGCAAGCAAGAAACCTGAGTTTGATTCCCCGCAGGGCGAAATGTTGCACAAGTTTCCTTACTCCACACACCTCTCTTTACCTAGCAGTAAGTAGGAACCCAGTTGTTAGTCCATTGTTAGATCGCTTTTCCAGGAGTAATAATTTGTTTAAAAATAAATTGGTCACTTCAATCCACAACTGTTTGTGGGACACTACTGTTTGCAATTGACTGCCGTATTTCGGCCACAAAATAAATTAATTTACTGTATATTCTGTGAAGCGCTTTAAGACATCTCAAAGATGTGATAAGACGCTATATCAAATGCAAGGATTATTATTAATACTTCAATATTTTAAAACAACTTTTAAAGTGAAATCCTTGCATTTGATATGGCCCCTTTCACATCAGGAGGGCATTTCAAAGTGCACAGGGTACACTGTAAAATTTGTGACTAGTTAGTAGGAAACACAGCAGCTAATTTGTAATAATGCAATGCACCATACCTGTGAAATGAATGACCAATTTTACTTGGAGTACAATTGACCAGGGCATCAGGAGAAACTCCCTTCTCTTTTGAATAATGCCATGGGAACCTTTAACATCTACCTGAATAGGCAAGCAGGACCTCAATTGAACATTTCATTCAAAAATGTCATTTCTAATAATGCAGCACGCTCCTAGCGCTACGTTGGATATCGGCCTACATTACAGTCCACTTCGCGTTTTCAAGCCTATTATGAGAGTAGTGGCAACACAGAGAGTGACAGCAAGGTAACGCCAGTAATAAAACATCTGGTCCTGACTCCATGCAATTATACAGAGTGCGCTGTATAGAATTTCAAAGTTCCGACGTGGGCTTGAAACACAACATTCTGACCCAGAGGTGGGAGTGCCGCCGAGCCAGGCTGACATGAAGTTTCGAATGAGGTCTGTAGTGTGAACTATGAAGAGTATATACTACTAATTTGAAAATGTCACTGCAATTCATTCCTTAGCATAGCAAAATTAGGCAAGTGAGCTTCCAACTTCAGTCATTTCCAGGTTTTGTGATAACTTACTGGGAAAGAATGAATGACAACCTTCACCTCTTTGCGTAGTTATAGGCACACCGCTCAGTGTGTTACACCTGTCACTATTCATCACAGGACCGGCACTGGCTTTACGTGCATAACTGAATGACCACAAAATAACTCAAAGAACTCTGACTGATTGCTCTTCTGTAAATCTTTGGGATACAAGACACCAAACAATGCAACAGTCAAAGATCACTTCCGGCCCCTATATCCATGAAGCAACACATGCGCTACCCACAAGTAATTCCCAAATCTCCTTTATCTAGAACATTGCCTCCCTCCACTGCCTGCAGCATAGGAAATCCCCAACCTATTCAGCAAAAGCAAATACAATTACCTTTACTGGCAACTTAGTCTGCTAATCCCTCCAGTAGGCAAAGCTTTCTCTAAGGGATGGGGGTGGGAAATCATATATACAGTATCTTGCATGAAGACCTTTTGACTAACATTCATTAAAGTGTGCTGAACATTGTGCATTGGGGAGAGTGTTCAAGTTAAGACCCAAAAAGATTCAGAGATGGACAATCATATGTAATGCACATGTATGTGAGATGCACTTCAGGGCCTAGAAATGCACTCAAACCATTTTAAATAAATATAAGTTTTACTTTGTTACAATTGGTATATGCATTAATCAGTGAAATATTATATAGAACAAAATAATGTGTTCAACTCAAACTAAGGCAATGTGAAAGAACCGGATAACAAATATACATATCATCTGGTCCCTAATTTGAATACAACTGTTTTAAGAAATAAGTACAAGTTATTCTTTAAAGTCAACAATATCAATCCAGATGAAATATCAGATCAATGAATAAAGAGGTCCTTTTTATGTTCCTTATGGCATGTGTTAAGCCTGAAACACATTAAAAGGTTCACATTCTCAATTAATACCCAGTGTGCTATTAAAACTTCTGTCCAGAATGGTATTAAATGAGCTAAATACACTAGGTTTCCTGGGCTAAACATACGTGAAGGAATGCAGAAAAACTATTAAAATCTTAAACTGCACAAAGAATACACATTTTGAAAATGTATAGACTTCTTTAGAAAAAATATTTAATATTGCAGCAATGTTCATTGATTTGATATCCTATCAGTTAGACAATAATCCTTGCATTTGATACAGCACATTATCGCGTCTTCAAGACGTCTCAAAGCGCTTCACAGAATATACTTTAAAGTGTATTTTGTGGGCGAAACTTATACTTAATAATGAAACTTATATATAAGGAAATTAACTTTGCCTTTCAAGGAAACTTTTACTCACCCACAGTATCACACGGCTCATTTTTGTGCACACAGAAGTCAGTCCTGTAAATCAATGGGAAGAGAAGGTTACTCTACAATGTAGAAGACCTGATAACATCAGGACACAATAGAAAACGTTTTTTGAAAAAAAATAAAAACAAGTCACTCTGAAAAGTTTTGAAAAAGGACCATGCCATTTTTTTTTAAAAAAAAGAGAGTTCAATCAGAACATTTATAAATTGAACAAATTATTATTTGCGTAGAAACACAAGCGTATGGCAATATGAAAAGTCCATTTGATTAATGCAGCCAATTGAAACCCCAATCCTGCATAAGATTCAATCATGTTGTGCATTTCGCCCACAAAATATACAGTCAATTTACTTTACACTATATTCTGCGAAACGTTTTAGTGCCTTGAAGACGTGATAAGGCCCTATATCAAATGCAAGGATTATTATCATTTATTATTATTATTATAATAATCAACCCCACATCTTCACCATTCAAATCTGATCACCTTTCCACCAGACATTCTTTCTCCCCTCCTCTGTACAGAAGTCATTGCGTTTCACAATGTACTTTATTCAACTCAGTCTGCTCTGCCACCTGTCCTTCAAATAGTCATCTTGCCAGTTCAATTTGAAAGAGTTACTTGATATAAATTTTGTTGCACAAAAATTCTTCTAACCTCTCATGTTGATTGAGGCTTTTTAATGTTTTAAACCGAAGCCTTACAGGTCTGGCTGCAGTCAAAGCAATTAGGGTATTTAGATCTACCTCATTCAATTGCTGTCAGCATTTTAAATATCTAAGATATAATCCTGACACCTCAGAACCAACTTACTATAATATTAAGTGGTTCTTGAGCCCCACAGGGTAAAGCATAATGCATATGAACTTTGATAAACATTCCTGATTCCACAGTTAATTGGAGCTGGTTGTCATGGCAGGAGGAGGAAGAAAATGGTCTCTATATATCCAGTGGATAAATCCAATGACAGGATTTCAGTTTAGAGAAATATGAGGTACAATTTGGGAGAAATTTAAATTCTTAAAGCGGAGGAGTAGAGAGAGAGTTATGAATACAGATATATTAGCCTTTAAAAGTGGAGAAGGTCATTTAAAAATGCAAATAGAAAAATATATAGGGCCATAAACAAATGCTGATGTTGCACAGGACATTGTGCATATTGCTCACTATTGGCATGGTTGCATGCAGTTTTGGCCACTACAAGTGTCAGGAAAAAAAAGAAACGCACTTACTTTGTGCTAAAAGGTGATTACTTGTAGCAAAATATGACTGAAATTGGGTAATGTTATTTTAAGAGTTAACAAGATGCATGAATAACTGTACCGAACTGCAGAATATTCCATGAAATATAAAGTTTGTGAAACATGCAATGGTAGTAAATAGCTTTGATTGACAAATCCACTGCAAGCCTGCCAGAACTCAAGAGAAATTAACTCAATTCTGCCAACAAAATGCAAGGTATTCCTTCCATCCACCTCTCACTTGTATCAAGCCAGCCAGACTCGCTTGGAGAGATGGGAGAAGGATTAAATAAACTGATGGGGTTGGGGGTTGGTGGGAGTGTGGGGGGAGAGAAGGAACTGTTTTATTGTGTATAGAGTATATTTTCTCCTACACAGAATAGGAATCCACAGCTGTCATTCATTGACAGAACACCTTACTCAGGACATTGCCCCAAACACAAGCATAAGATGTGCTCGGTCCTGCTTTTTTGGCAACGATCCCAAATCTTCCTCCATGGCCCAAGTTACTTGACTCCATCTCCAAGGTAACGGAATATTCATTTACATAACTGAAATCTCCCTTATGCCTACTAGCTCATTTCAGCTCTCCGGAAAGGCTGCCAGACGATATTAAAGTTGTGTTGTTGGCACTGGCGTCAGCCAAGCATTATGGAACTGGACTCTATTTACCTTATTTCAACAATTGCTAAATTGAATGATTGCTGCAATGATTTGGGAAGGGGTAATATCATGGCAGATCAATGCAAACAATCTTGGATAACTATCATCGTTTGAACCCAATCAGCTTGAACCTCGATGCCTACATCATCCTCGACATATCCCCATAAACTAATGATGTCCGAACTCAAAATTACAATACTATCTTAAAGTTACTTCACTGTATACTGTAGATTTTTGATTGGATTTTTTGTACAGCTTTCTTTTCTTCTCCAAACGTACTGTATATAATTTTTTTTTTGAAAATTTGAATAACAGTTACTGAAAATAATCAACATTTCTTAAACTGATAAAATAATCTGCATAACAGGGGGTATTGAGGAAACGTTTATAGATTGAAAAGGAAATTAGATTTGTTAAACAAGATCTGGAGCCCAGTATGGAACTCCCACATCGCACAAATGGATTCATTCTCCTTCAATTCCCTTTTCCCCCCCAGTCTTACTGCACACTCCAATTTCACCAGTAGTGTAATACGTTGTCACAATCAGTCAATTCCTGGGTTTATCATATCTTACCTTTTAACACATAATAAAAACAATAAAACTGCAAATCCTTGCAGCTCCCAGAAAACAAGGGGATGAAAAATGCAAAATCAGATCAAATCGGGTATGAAACACATTTTTTACCCCCAAGAGTCAACAAATATGAATCTCACAAGGTAAGGCTGTTGCTCTTTCCTGAGCCTCCCTCAAAGAACTACTGTATTAATAAATATCCCAACTGTATTATGACAGCATTTATTAAATAGAGAACAGAACTCAACTGAATCTTCAACCTCTGGCATGCAAAGTCTTAGTTTATATTTGCAGTGTGGACCAAGGGTTAGTTATACATTTGGGATAGGAACATAACTGAAACAAACTGAAATTTGCAAGTTTGAGCAATTTCTAACCATAAATACTATTCAATCTCTTGGGCAATGAGCTTTAAAAGACACTTGAACAACTCTCATCCAGTACCATTTTGTACATGACTGAATAAATAAATGCAAAATGCAGAGCAGAGAGGTCATTTCACTTTTAATGTAATAATTGGCGTCAGTCAGATGTTTGTGGCCCCATGTTAAAATGGAGGAGTTCTTTAATACAACAATTGCTCAAATTAATGCTAAAAATCACAGCATTAAATGTTCTGCGCAATCCTTGGAAGTCAATCACATTGTAGTTGCCTGTCAAAAAGTACATTAAGGAGGTAGTTTTGGCATTGATTCATTCTATTGTGCTGAGGCGTGAAGATAGCGCAGACCAATTCAGTCACAACTCAGAAAATGGCCTGTCAAAGTTCCGAAAAGGTTTGTTTTAGGTTATTAAACCAACTAGAAAGACACTCACTTAGCTTCTCCCCCCATCAAGCTAGCTTCTCCTCTTAACCTACCCCCCTACCTTCACAGCTGCTGATTTTAGAACAGAAAACACAATACAGCTGGAAAAGAAACAGGAAACAACAAATGAAAATCTTTTTCCAATCAAGAAAAAGGAGAACTGGTGTTGGTGTCCCTATTTATAATGCAGATCCATAACTTGGTTTGAAGGGCTTTATACAATTCTGAAATTGGAAACAGAGCAAATAGCAATGTAGCCAGGTCATAAAGCATTTAGGTATTTTAAAATGGCAAAAACCTCATGGCTTTGGCTTATAGAGTTATCAGGAGCCAAGTAAGAGGAATCACAGGTTCCATTGACTGCTTCCACATGAGACATCAACAAGGTCTTGGAGTATTATAAACCTGCCTGGCCCAGGTATTGGATCACTGTGACTTGGCTCCATTCTCCTTTTTGTCAGACGCGTTACCCTGGAGCCAGCAAGGACCCAAAGGAACTCAACCCCCTAAGGGGTGGGGGGAGATATTCACAAGTTGTGCATTGACGAAGCATGTAATGTCGAAAATAAACATATTAAACAGTCACTACGGATTTCAATACGTGCTGCTCCACAACTAGAGTTGAAGACAAGCGTGTATTTAAGACACCGAGGAAAATGTTGGCAGCCACTTTTGGGAGTACATTGGCAGGCAGCAAAATGGTTTCCAGTCACCTCAGCAGCCAAACCATCAGTTCATGGCAGGCTGCCCTTCACAGCGGAGGTGCTCCCAAGAGAAAGCCCCGTGACGCACACGACTCAGTGCTGTTACAAATCACCTTTATTCACAGAAAACCTTAAATACACAAAACACTCCACTGCCTCAGGCTCATCTTAAACTCACATGCCAGTCAGATAAATCGAAACCCATTTTATCTTTGTATTTGTGTGTGTGTGTGTTTATGTGTATATATATATATATATATAAATTTTTAAAACGTATTGAAGGCACAAGCTCAGATCAATTTTCTCATGAGCTGGTTTACAATAATTAATCAAAAGTGAATGAACTTTGGGACGGTTCTTGTGTTCAGGCTGGAAATCTCAATGTGAATCAGAGCCTCAAAGCGCTGAACAGTCTTCTTGGCCCTTTTGACAGTCATGTTTAAAGCAACTCTGTGAGTTTGCTTACTTTCCCCAAACATGGCTCGCTTACTTGAACGAGATACTGGTACTTTTTTTAATAACATAAAAAAAAACTCAAGAGGTTTCACTAAAATTGGTTTGGAGCCTGACCTGTTGCCAGCAGCACATGTCAAGCAACTAACCACAGTTGTTCCCTAGTGCATCAACAGGGAATCCAAATTATATTCAGATGAATCTCGCTTGTCATTCCACAATCTTACGGAGGTTGTTTTTCTAATCAGTTTGTATTAGGCAAGTCATTTTTACTATTGGATATTTTGAGGATTTTAATCCTGTGCTGTTCCTAATCTTAATATAATTATCATAATTTGCCTATTGTACACAATTATTTACCAGGGATAGGGTTTCCTTTGGTACACAATTAATTTAACATGAACTCTACAGTAAATGGCTCATTACACCCAATCCTTCCTCACGCATTTTATTCCACCCATTTCATCTCCTGGGAGGAATGGGTTTCATGTACGTGCCCTCAACCCCCAAAAGGTAATCAAGCTAAAGGCATCCATTGGGGAAAAGTCATCCACCTCTGCACCATTTTGCAACATTAACTTCCTTTC